TGGGATTGAGTGTGGCCCTTTGCTGTTTGCTGCATATGCACAGGGTGCCTCAAGAGAAGAAAAAAAAACCGGTGCAATAGGGACCTCTTTTTTCATTTTTACGATTTTCCTAGAATCCTTTGGAGAGCGTGGAAAGACAGGCATGTTTATGAAGGTTTCCAGATGGTCCCGCCTGCACCCCCAGCTTTTCTTTTCAGTTCTTGGGCCATGAAGGATTAATCAAAGTCAGTGGCGAGGGCTGATGGCTAAACACTGTGGCTCTCGCGAACCTAGAGGAAACCCCTCTTCAACTCCAACTCAGATTCAGCCCCTGGGCTACATAGCAGAGGAAAGTTGAAACCCGAGGTTCAAAAACCAAGCAAACTTAACTAAACCCTGGCCACATAAGTGCGGATAAACGTAGTGTGTTTATCACAGCGGTTGATCTCCTGCGGGTTAGAGGAATTTGTCTCCTACATCCAGCCAGGAAAGCGGGGCTAACCCCGACGGATACACCTGAACTCTGATCCCCTTTGTGAGCTGGGGAATTGTGCTGCTTGGTATTTATGGATTCTCTGTTACATGTAAAGATTTTAATGGAGTTTGATGTCATTCTGGCCATGACTCGAATCCGCTCGCCGTGATTGAATGCATTCGCACTATAATGCAAGACGAGTACAAAACATCCAGATTGCTATGATCAGGCAAAGGTCTCTCTTTTATCTACCATTTTAGCCTCACCATTACCGCCTGGCCTCTTGGGGATGGATGCAGATAAAAGGGCTGTCTCTTGAAAGAGGATGACAATAAAAAACACAAAAGGAGAGTTAGAACGAAACTGTTAATTTTTAAATAAGCTATTTCTGTTTATAGCGCTGCACACCGTTGCCTTAATCATCACCTTGAACATCCTTCGTTTGACAGGACCTGAGCAGGTGGAGCAGAGGATTGTCAAGTGACAGAATGTGTAGCTTGTTTGGTTCATAAAACAAATAGATTGAATTACAATAGCTTTTAACAGGTTTTGAACCAATATTACTGATGCATGACACTGCAATGTACTTTCTTTATTAGACACATGCCACTCTGAACAGCTGCTCCACATGAAAATGATGAACACGCGCAGCATTCACTACACATGTTAATATGCCAACTGTCAGTAGATATCTCTGTGGTGTGTTCACAGCAGACTCACTATGTGATTACAAATGAGTCCGTCTTCAATTGGACATTCAACATTGTTCACATTAAAAAAACTTGAGATAAAATAACACAGAAGACACAGCACAAACATTGAAAGACAGATTGAGAAGAGATGAACTGTATGACTCTTGCAGAGCTCTGTGGTTAGGTCTGTGACCCAGGCTCCCACTGAAACAACAAAACTGTCCTAGATATGGTCGTGTAAACACAGAAATATGTTGAAAACAACTATTGCAAGGCAAGCTATTTTCCTTGAAAGCAGTTGTTTAAACTATAAGATTGCTGATGCGTTGTATTTAATTTAATTTATAGAGGAAATATATTCCCACAAAGTCTTGCCAAAAGTTTAGTTTTACAACCACACCAGTGCAATAATTTAAATATACATCTAAATCCACCACATATGCAGCTACACGGGATGCTGCTCTCTTGTTTGTATTTTTTATCCCTGATTATGTCAATACATTTTCGGACTTGTCATTAGTTTTAACCTCGAGTAAACATGTAGTGCAGCCTGAGTAAACACTGTATTGGCTGAACCTGATCACCTCAGAAAACACTGTTTTGTCCCTGAGAGCAGGACCTCTCCTTGTAAGGGTTTTACAATAAGTGAGATAACTACTACCAGCAATATCTGTGGTGGTTCTGTCCATGTTTTAATCATGTGGTTTGTTCTGGAACACATACATTACATCATATATGCACTTGGCCCTTGGATAATACATAATTGAATTAGCAAATATAAGTGTTGCAGGCCCTCGTGTGGTTTTGTGTAAGGCAACACAGTTTTCAGTGATGCAAGTGCCCAGAATTAACCACGGACTCTCGTGCAGAAAGTCCATGGCTTCTTAACATTTTACTACTTCTCAGCAGGTTCTCACCTACGGTAATATTGTCAAACCTGAAGAGGGTGCACATATGATTTATAGCTGTCCGGGCATCAGTCACCCCGCTCAAAGTATCCAAACTTCAAACTTGAGTTTCTGGTGCTTTTAAGTTTTCAGTGAAAACTCAATAAAGTTTGACTTACGTTGGCTATTCACAGAGGCAATATTACAGATGACATTGTGTTGCATCCAGGCCCTGTATGCTGCCGAGCAGGTTTTAATAAATGCTTTTTAATTGAGCATTTCCCAGCTTTGTTTTTTTGTATGACATCAGAACGTTTCCTTACTTCTCTGTGATAAACCAGTGTATCTGCAGAGGGAGTATTTGTAAGTAAAGAAAGGAGTATGGTAGAGAAAATTGGAACGTTGACTGTGCAGTGTCATAGATTGGATATCAGTTAAAGGCTGCAGGCAAAACATTTTTTCTATATCTATCGTTTTTTATTTAATTAGGTTACGTGCCACTGAAAAGCTAGTTGTTGCAGTTGGATGTATCTTAGTTGTGTGGATAGAAAATTCAAACATTTTACATGAAGGTTATAAAGCTGAGTTGTGATGGATTATGGTCATTTATCTGAGGTCTTGAGAACATTACAGGTTGAGGTTTTCCTGCAACACCATTCAGGGTCTGATCCTGGGAGCTCTTGTCAGTCGGATTCTCATTGTTGTTTTCTGATAATTCAGTTGGGACATTTTACGAATAAATAGGTACAGATACTTGGAATATATCCTGTCTTTGAAAGAAAGTGGATCTCTTAAAGAGCTCATCATACAAATTAGGTTGAGAAATATAACCAATAATGCTTTAAAATGTCTTGGATACGAAACCAAAACGGAGTTTTCCTGTGGACATTGAATTTTCAGAAACCCTGGTGGTGGGGCAGGAAAACAAAGCCGGTAAAATACATTAATACCTCTGAATGAAAGTATTGTAGTCCTATGTGGTTTTGCATTCTTTGAATCCCAAATGTCATGCAAATCGGTTGAATATTTAATGGTTTAAAGAAATGTAGAGATCAATGCCCATACAGACATCTTGTAAATAGAAACTGTGACCATTAAACAGACAAAAGTCGTCTGTGGTTCATTACAAGGAGAGGTCCTGCTCTTTAGAGTCAAAGTGCCATGAGACTCTGAGTACAGTGAAGCAGATTTGGTATGACCGGTAGCCAAATAAACTTGCCAGGGTTCAAATATCAGCCTTGATCCTTTCTGTGTGAAGTTTACATGTTCTCCAACTCCCTTTGTGGGTTTTCTCCGGGTCGTCTGTTTTCCACCCGCAGTCCACCCACATGTAAACCAGGTGGACTGGAGATTATGTGTTCGCAGCATGTTGTGTGTGTGTCCGCCCGCCCCTGCAGAGCGCTAATGATCTGTCCAGGACCTTCCCCTCCCTTCCAGCAGTGCATTCTGGGATGGGCCGCTGCCCCAGATAGAGATCCACGCAGCTAGTTTCGCCACCTTTTGTGTTGGGTGTTTTACAGTTGAAGACTGCACAAGGCTTCTATTTTGAGCGTAGGAGGTGTTTTACAATGTTTTGAGGATCCCTCCTCCCGACAGCTTTGTCTGATCTTTTTTTACGAGGCGTTTTACACGCCAGCACTCCGAGTGAGAGGTCAGGTGTGACGATGAGGTAGTTCTGATTAACTGGTAGACCTGGAAAGGTTTTTGGAAACTATTCGAGGTGTCAGGGGATGCGTGCTGTGTTATGTTGGAAATATTAAATCATCTATAAGGGAACTTTGTAAGAGCAACAACATGACAGCTTTTGACTAAAGTGCAAAAATGACATCCTTTTTAACAGCAATAATAAAAGTTCACCTTTAAATCAAAAGTCATATCAGCATGTCTCATCAGATTAATGACTCCGTTTGTTGTTGGGAAGGGTGTTTGTAAGAGGAAACCTGTATGTCTGCCAGAACCTGAAAACCTGAATACATGCCAACAGTATCACAGAGAGGAAGTAGATATCCTATTTTGGTTATATAAAATATGAAAATACATATTTGGAATTTTATATATAATGCTGTGTTTTGGAATACACAAAATGCTGACTTGTTTGTGATATTCAGACTCATACTGATTTAATTTATTTGGCTTTGTTATGCTAACTAGCAAGGGATCCCTGTTGTTTTAGCTAATCCAGAAGTGTGCTTTTGAAAAGGATGCACTTTTTGCACCAGAGGATTGAGTCAAACTGACTTCCTCAACTCTGACACAGGATTATGAAATCTTGTTCTGGTGGCAAACAGCCTATTTTATGTCAGAGCAAGTGGCCCAGCTGAGTAAAATGTAATTTCTTGTCACAACATTCTGCATGACACGAGCATTCAGGCTGCTCGAGCTGATGCGGTTGTAAAGGTCTTTCCAATCGGAAAAAGTCTGTGTTTCTACCAACAAACTGTCACATTCTGCAGAGGTGCTAAGAGCGCCAGACAGCAGGTAACACGGATACAATCACGTGTCAGCATCTGACACTCCTCCTTCCTCAAGCCCCATCCTGTCGCTGTGCACCTCTCTCAGCACTCCCCTTCCTTCAAACGTCCCTGCTTTCGTCCCGATAAGCATGCTTCATCCCAAACATATTATATCTATTCAATCAGGGGGATTAAGTGCAGATACATGACTTCTTGGACCATTCCAAGGACCTGAGTCAACGCGTAAACAACTCCTACGCTATGTCAGGGAAATATTTATCTTTGCTCATAGAACTTCTTGAGATAGTGTCAACACTGCTTAGAGGCATAATTACATTTGTGGATGGGAAACTAAGAGTTCTCGTGGAAATACAAGTGTATAATATGAGTTCAACTTAGAATACTAAATAATAATGTGTGATCATGCCATTTTATGTCCAAATCATCATCAGCAAGAGTAATATTGACCAAAAAAATGTTTCTTTTTTCTCATTAACCACAACGCCTGCTCCAGACTCAGGCCACGCCAGAAAATGCAACGACACGGAGAAAGCCTACTGTGTGAATGGCGGCGACTGTTCCTTCATACGCGGTATAGATAAGCTTGCCTGCAAGTGAGTTATATTCTTATTTTTTTCTATTCACCTTGAAAATATACATTTTTTGACATCGTAAAATACATGTATTGTATAACATTCAAATCACTTTTCATGATGTTTCCAGTAATATTCCAAACTCTTCATATTTTTTATCCTGCTGTTTATTTTCCTGATAGCACTTGATCTATGCTTTCCTTTCAGCAGCAGCAGCAACACATCACAGGAAAATGCTGCCAGTCTTCCTAACTACCCACCTGTTGTGTATTTTAACACTAATAATGGAGTGAGGCGGTGGTGTGCTCATCCTTTTATGTCATGTTTAGTGTACAGGAGGGCTTCACATTAAAAGCCTTTTCAAAATGTCATGAGTCACTGGTTTAGTAGTGAGCAAATATTTATGCTTGTTAGAGGCCCCCAGTGAGGTAAATAGAATCCTTGCTTACATTTGAGGTCCTTGGCAGAAGGGATCAAGACCCATGTGTAAAGTGCGCCTGTGTCTCTCAGCTTTTCAGGAAGAAAAACACATTGACATTAACACAGAAACAACCTTTTTTATGCTTTGAGAAACCCATTTTAGTTGAGTTGGACAAAAGGTCAAGGAGCCTTATTTGACACGATGTTCAAGAGTTATTTAAAAAAAAAAAGTGTTTTCCCTTTTCAGGACACTGACAAGGTTTTATGAGTAGAGATTCAATGACATCAATTATTTCGATAATCGCTCAAGATTAAGAATCACTGCTTTCTAATTCTCAAATTTTAATTATGGCTGCTTTCATTTTTGGACATTTTAAGATTTTTTTCTGACATTTCACAATTCATTTATTCAAGGAAATACCCGTCAGATGAAAATCATTGTAAGTCAAACCTAATAGTTATAGCACAAACTATGCACATATGTCTTGCCATGGTTGTCAAACATTATGTTGCATGTGGGCCATATGTCACATAGCATTAGTCCTCTGTCTGGTTTGAAATAGAGCTGAAACATTGGCAACGCTTCGGTGCCCAGTTGGCCCGAGGAAGAATGCTCGACAAGCAACGAGGACATGGCTGCAACAGCCGTTCAATACGCTGTGTACAAATTGGAGGCAGCAATAACTCAATTGCTGCAGCTAATTCACTCACAGCCGGGGCATGGGTCCAGAAAAGTTGGATAATGCAGTGAAGGCCTGCAGGGATTTGTTGCCCCCCAGCCATCTCATTCAATATAGGCCAGGCTTCAGTGGATATTACTCACTGGCTAAACAAGTCCTGCAGACAGCTAGTCCTACTTTAATGCCCTGCTCCTTCACTCTGAAGGATACACTTTGTTTTGGGCAGACGTTAAAGTTAACAAATGACCCACAGTAAGTAACTCACTAAATGTAAACATCATTTTTCTGATGATTTTCTTCACATAAATTAGCTATAAAAAACAAATGTAGACTTGTTTAACATATTGTCCATGAATAAAGCGTTTATCATTTTTATGGACTTTTTCCAGGACATTTTCAGAAGGTTTAATTTACATTTAGTTGGATAAAGATAATGTAAATAATATTTTCTTGATCAATTGAGGAGGTGTTTTAAAAAACTTGTTTGCTTATTCCATGGGGGATGTTTTAAAACTTTAGACCAACAAAACTGGAAGATATTCAGCTCATTTAAAACGGAGAAAAACCATCAATATCACACGAGAGAAGCTATCAAATAAGATGCAGATGAAGATTCTGTCAAATGACTAATCAATTGAGAAACTAATGGTTTCAGCCCTATTCAAATGTATACAAGTATATTAGCGTTCTTCTTTCTAAGGGAACTTATTTAACTTTGAACAAGTCACCTCTCTGTGGGACTTGACAGAGGATTATGTAATTGTATTGTACATAAATACAGTATATACAGTATGTAGAACATAAGTACAATTCCACACGCTTCATGGAAAATCTTTTCCTTTCTAAATGTTTATTTTTCATCAAAGAATAATAAATAATGACAGTGATGTATTTTACACCAAAGTTAAAACGAGTGGTAATAGAGTTTGCAGCTGCACATTTGCACGCTCATCTGATTTTTAAATTACGCAGTGACCGTTTATTTATTTCATCTTCCAGCCAAGTTTCCTAGGTCTAGGTGGTGCTATCCCCCCGTTAAACACCATCACTCAGGATGAGTAATTTAATGCTGAATGTTATGGTGCTCCTGGGAGGCGTTGTGTGAAACCAGTAAATCAGGAGCAATGACCTTTGTTGGACTGGTGGTGGTCTAGACTGTGAGAGGAATGCCGTGCCCCTCAAAGACCAGCCGCTCTTCCTAATGGGCTTGTAATGAGGAAATATGGTTTGTCTTCACTCACTTGATGCTGATGATACAGTAGTTTGTCCGCAGTTGCAAAAGTATGATGCTAAATGTCAGAGAACTTGATTAATGCTTCAAACAATGAAGAGAGTTGTCCAGTCATGTTTTCCAGGTGGTTTCATTTCCATATAATTTTTAGGACTGGAAATACAGGAAATTCTTTCTCCTCATTTGATTACTTTTCCTCCCTGTCTTTTATGGTTATAAAACTGTCACATTTGGAGGTAATAAACACATACCAGCTCACGACAGGCACCAGGAGAAGAAGCCACATTAACCCACTTTTTGCTCCATGATTGATTTATTGATCACATGGGCCCAGTAGTTCAACACTTTTAATCCCTATCTGATCGGATCAGATTTGGATTTTGGGTAGTTCAAAACCACAAAACAGGATTAGTATCACTTTGATATCCGATCAGATCAGGAAATCAAATCCAAGCTTTAATCTGGATCAAATCTTCAAAACGGGTAGTTCAAACCGACAACACTGGATTTGGATCAGTTTGATCCCAAAAAACTGGATTATCTTGATCCCACCAGAGGGGTGGATTACCAGAGCAAAATGTACTGTAAAATGTATTTAAAAATATGTTTCAATATAAATAAGATGGCAAAGTTTGTTAACTGAAATAATATACAATCTTTAGCCTTCATGGCAAATCAATTTTATTTTTCATTTTTTGGTCACGTTTGTGGTGGCCTATTTTGTTTTCAACCAAATGTTGATGACATAAATGTGTATGCTCATAAAACAAAGACTGTCAATCACAAATGTAATTTAGATTAAAGAAAAAATATCTTCAACAAAAAAAAAAGTCCATCATCTGTCGTCACCTTTCAAACGTAATTGCGGACAATAGATGTCTCTGCAATGTGGTCTCTTGTCTTCCTTGTATTCTTTTTCATATCCACTAGATGGAGATCGGTAGGATTAAAGCACTGATATTCAGGATCTAGTAATCTTGAAAAGTCTGAATCTGGATCAGAGTGATCCTATCCTGAATTGCTTTGAAATACTGGGACAAAATCTGGCCGAGTTGTCTGATCCTGGATCACAAAGAATGGGATTTCAAAATCTGATCGGATCTGATTGAGATTAAAAGTTTTGAACTACTGGGGAAAGCAGCACATGGTTTATCCACAGATACATTCCACTTTTCTTTTTCCCCATACAGACTGAGGTCAACAAGAGCCTCTGAAGCCCAAATATGACCTTTTCATATCACTATGTCAAACTTGTTTTTGCTAACTAGCAGGGTATTTACCTTTTTAATGTTTATTTATTTGAGTTTTTTAAGTTTTAGTATACGTTTGCTCACTTGTACTGTAGTAGCATTTCTTTGTTTACTATTAATGGTAAAGCAGTTTATTTCTTTACTGTGTAATATTGATAAAAGGGAGGGAGCCTTGGTATGGGGGTCAGATGGTCACAGGTTCAAACCCCACTGCAGTCAGCATGTCGTTGTGTCCCTGGGCAAGACACTTCACCCCAAATTGCTCCTGTGGGGATTGCCCACAGTATTGAGTATGTAAGTCGCTTTGGATAAAAGCGTCTAACAAGTAACATGTAATGTAATGTAATGTAAAAGAGGCCCTATTATACTTAATGTCAGGTTGATATTTGTATGTTGTGCCTCTACTGTGACATGTTTGCATGCGTGGGAGAGAAACTTCATCTGGAGGGAACATGGGGGTTTTGCACACCATTTACATGCACAGAAACCTATACAACACACTACTGGAGAGGGTAAACCCCAAAAAGCATAATAGGGCCTCTTTACATAATGTTTACATGCGTGGGAGAGAAACTTCATCTGGAGCGAACTTGGGGATTTTTGCTTTTGCACACCATTTACATGCACAGAAACCTATACAACACACTACTGGAGAGGGTAAACCCCAAAAAGCATAATAGGGCCTCTTTACATAAAAAATATTAACATCATTTTTTATGGGAATAACAATCATCTTTGGAAGTGTTGCTTCTTGTGTTTTCACTTTGTGTGCTTTCTCCATGTGGCTTCACAGTGACATTCAACAATACGCCTGAAAGGATTTCGACCCCCCGGTATTTACAGTGCACCTCACTTCCTGTGTTTTTCCTTCTCATAACACTTGTCTGCTCCTTCCCAGATGTCCGGACGGATACTTCGGCCCACGGTGCTTACAGACTGAGCCGCTGCGGCTGATTATGCCCAAGCCTACAGAAAGTATGTCCACTTGATATGAGCAGCTGAGAACAGAGACACAGTTGTCACTGGATTACCTCTGGACTGACTCCTGCTGCCCAAAAGTTCTCTTCCTCTTTCTCCTCCTCTTTCTCTTCCTCAGGTCAATGAGCTGCGCGTTACACCATGCACACGGTGGTGTCGTCCATGGGAACACTCTGCTTCTGCTGTCTGTAGTTGTGCTGTTGTTCTAATTCTCTCTTTCTCTCCCTCTCCCTCCCTCCCTATCCCCCCCTTCACTCTTTTCTTACGTATACTTTTCACTCTCCCTCTTTCTGTTGTCTCTCTCTTTCTCACTCACCTACCACCCTCCTCCTTCTCCCTCTCTCTTTGTGGCTTTGTTTCTTTCCATCAGGTGTCCAAATGACTTTACTGGTGATCGCTGTCAAACCTACGTTATGGCCAGTTTCTACCGTATGTCAATTTCCTCTTCTGTCACTCTGTCAGACTGTCCTTGTGTCATGCGTGCATGCTGGGTGTTGAGAGATTGCATTAATTTCCTGTTATTATTACCTAATAGATGTGTCTGTGCCTCCTGCGATGACTCATTCACAAGCTGGCAGAGTTTAGTAGAGTCTGTTATTGTGTTTGGTCTGCATGTGATATTGCGTGCCCTTTAACTCGCAGTGTGTTGCATGCACGTTCTTCAGAATACGAGCCGATAGTACGTGTGATAGCAACAAGTAGGCGGCAGAACTCAGATGCTATGTGGATTTGCACAAAGTCAGCTGCATGTGACAACACAGTCTAATGGCAAAACAATTACTAAAACCCTATCTTAATCTTGCTCACTAATGACGCTTGTTTGTGCAATCAGCGGCAAACATAAGCATGTATGATCGAATTAAAGCTGATGGATGGAGAAACAATTAGCATTTACTAAGGCATGACAAATGATGAACCTGTTAAGAGGTGCGCTGGCTTAACCCATAAGGAAGTGTTTGTTGAGGGCCAACAAGACATCTCATGTAGGTTGTGAAATTGCGACACTTTAACATGTGCATCCATAGGTCTGTACATTGTACATGAGCCAACATGAAAACATTCCACTTATGTTTTTCCTGACTAATTTGATTTTTATCTCAAACATAATAAAGGATTTACCAAAGATCAAATCATTCGCAGCAAATATTTTAATGTTAGTGTTCTCACTTCATGGGTTACAAGTAGAACATACTGTACATACAGGCGTTTCTTTCACTTCAAATCAGCCGCATAACTCGCTCAAGACTCAGACTCTAGTAAATCGTAACATCCACACTACAATCCGCCAGTTGTGTTTGTTGCTTCAGAAGAACAGCAACAAAATGGTGCTCTCACAGCAGATGTCCTCAGCTAAGAGTTCACACGCTGCACTACAGTGCCGTGTCAAACTACTTTGCCTGGGGTAAGAGGAGCAAACCTCACACCACTCCACACGGCAACATCAGAAAACAAATCCATCAAAAGCGAAATGAAACAAAGATTTCGAGATAACTATGGATTTGTTAGATCTTGCCCTTGAGGTATTTTGATTTAAAAAAACATCCTCTATTACCTGTTGGTTGATTACTTGAAAGTGTCCCAAGTGAAGCTAAGATAAACGACTGAGTTTGATAGTGTACGGTAATACCATAGAATTAAAATACAACGCCCATTTTGGATAATAGCAAAGAATCTTCTGGTATCTTTCTGCATATTCGTCAGCGTCATGTCTTTGCAAGCCCATGTGGTTGCAATTCAGTGTAACATAAGAGTGAAATAACTAACTGCATCTGCTTTTGCCTGATGTTGCCTTCAGAGCCTCATCCCCGCAGTCTGACTTGCAGAGCTTACACTCAGTGTTTGTTGTATGTTGGCTCAGAGTACAATGCCAATAAACCCTCTTAACTACAAGTAATTTCATCTCACATTAAGTGGAAATGCACTGTGCTGAGATTACTTGTTCTTTTGGCAGAGCAGACAGTGATGTGTGGGAGCTCTTTTTCCCTACACTGTTTTCTGCATTCTGTCTAACTTCGACGCAGCTGTGCAAATGCATCAAGGACAGCATATATTTCCAGCTCTCATCCAGCTACATGAACACAAAACAGGCTTTGATTACTTGCTTTACATTTGAATTTGTTCAAATCAATGACCTGACTATCTGTACGCTTAACAGATTAAAGTTTGAAAGTAAGGAGGGGAGTTAAACAATCAGATGTTCTCTGATGAAACGTTCATCCATCAATAATTGAATGCTGTTATTTAAAATATAAAAGATTAAGCCTCCTCTCAGTCACATCATATGATTTAATATCATTGTTTATCTAAGGATATTAACCTCGTGGGTTGAAAAAAACGTAAGATCAACAGTTATCATGTTCATGAAAGCCCCTGTCAGACATGATGGATGTAGCCGTAAAGGGACTTTTGTTTTTTTGGAAAACTAGCAATCGTTAATGGCCTCGCACATATTTCATTTTCCTACTCTCAATTAAGGAGAATAAATCACAGTTTTAAAGCAGGCACATGTGCACACACACACACGCACGCACTCCATATTTAAAGACCCATCTCCTGGAGGGCGCCTCCCATCCCCAGGAGATACCAAAGAGAAGGAGGATGGCTTCTGCTCCTCAGCCATAAGGGCTTGGCTTTACAAGAGCATGTTGTCATAAGAACAGCTGGGACTAGCTTCAACCCAAGTAAAGCAAGAAAGCTGCCAGAGATATGGACTCAGCTGGTTGGTGCAGCCTCCCTAAGGCCTCTCTGTGCCATATGATATAAAGTCCAGCTATAATTCTTCCTATTCCGAGCGATTACTCAGATACTGTACAGATACACTCCTTTTGACTTGCCTGTTCATGCGATGGGTGTGTTCGGGGAAATGAGAGTGTAGCGTTTTTTTAGAAAGCAGAAAACTGAAAGCCCAGGTAATCTCAGCAGATGACGCATATTTTCCCCCCGAGAGCAATAATGAGAGTGACTGTGCGTCTAATTCTTCCAAATCCCATTAGGAGATTTTGTTCCGTTATGTTATCAAATATAACTCTGCAGGAAACACACACAAATCAGTGAGAATCAGACTGTGTTGAGACATACAGCAAATAGAAAACTGCACACAAAAAAGAAATTGTGTATTGCGATTAGACTATTTTAGACATAACAATCAAATCAGTTAAGAATGAAATGGTAGTTTTTGTGTAGTGTGGTTTTACGTGTGTGTTGCATGCTGTGTGTTCCCATCGTTGACATTACTGACCATGTCATGCCGACAATTACTGACAAAGTGTTTGTTGTCCCAGTTGCCGTAATGCATATTTTTGTTTGCTCCATTGTGTGTTAGAAGGTGTCACTTTCTAAACCTGGTCTTTTGTTTATTTTTGTTTCTCTTCAACTGTCAACCCTCTGCAATGGCAGAGCATCTTGGGATTGAATTTATGGGTATGGAAAAATCCATTTTGACTCTCTGCCCTAGCATAACTACTAAATAGGTGTCCTTCGTGTTGACTTGCTCCCATTCCTGTCTGTGGTTTGAACTGTTAATCATATCGTCCCTTGATTAACCAATCAAATCTCTATCGTACCATTACTCATTATAATGACAAACCCGACGCATCCGATCCTCCATCAATCATCATTAACATGGATGTCCTCACTCGCAACCCTCATACATGTGCAATGGAAATGTAGAACCATTAACAGAGTTTGCAGCTCAATAGCATTTTCCCCCCTTTTTTGGACTGATTTTTGTTTTCTCATTCCATCTGTCATAAGCATGGTGTATCATGTTGGTAGCTACCAGATGTCTCTCCTCAATCTTCACCTTCATCTTTCCAAACCTTTTAGTCTCATACCTCTAGTGTCTGTCTGTTTCCTTTGATATGCCACCCCTTTACTTTTATGTATGTGTTCTGTCCATGTTTCCTGCATCACCCCGTCGTTAGCATAGCTGAAATGTAACTTCTGAAGTATGTCATATAATATCTGTGTAACTGGTCTGAATTATCCTATGAGGATGCTGTGATGTGAGCATGCATTGCTATATTTAGAACCTACATTCATGATTTTCTTCCATCTCCAGCTATTTTCATCCTTCTTTGTTGTTAGCTCTTGTTTTCTGCTAACTTTTCCAGACAAGTGCTTCACTGGTTGAGGGTTGTAGAATGAACGCGAAAGGCGTTTCTTTCCAGATCACAAAATAACACATATAGAAACTGGACCTGCACAAAGATCACTTGTGATTATGATGTGTTTGTTCTTTAGGAACTTGAAACAAATTGGTATGGTGGTGTAAATTGGCAGCTTCAGATGAAAGGAGTTGTACACATTCATTTATTTGTGGTACATTATTTATCAGGGACCACACTACCTCTTAGCTCCATCATGTCCTCCAAGGGCACAGGTCTACCTCAACCTCACACAAGCTCTTCTCTGGAAAAGCACAATTTAAGTCTAAATTCTTCCAGTCATATATTTAATGATATTTCATTTCAAAATGAATGTGTTTAATGAATAAGCGTAAAATAAGATCTCATAATTGTACTTACTGAATCCATGAGCAGATGAAGACTTCTGTAAGTGAATGCAGCTGTTGTTTAAGATTAAGACATGTCAAAACATTTCCAAATCACTTCGGTGACACATCGGTGTTATACTGCACAGTTTGCAGGTTCCGCTGGTCATCCATTAAGGGCCCGAACCATTAAAGTATCATATATTGTATCATTTGAAATTACTTGGATTTTTAGAGGATACAGCTGCTTATTCGATCAGTCCAACTCCCTGCCCCCACCTACGCCGCCTTACTGCAGCGCAGGCGGCAACAGCATCTGTTTATTTGTGATTATGTGCGAGGAAAGGTTTCCCTGTGAAGTGAGTTGTCAGGGAAGGGAAGGTGAAGCTTCATGCTGCTCAGGATTTAGTCTATAAAAAAGTTAGGAAATGTGGATCAGTGAAAAAGTGGTGAACCTGCATTTTTGTGACACTAATTTGTTTCTCTCCTGTTATTTTTCTCCCTGTGCGTGTGCGTGCGTGCGTGTGTGTGTGTCTGTGTGTCTGTGTGTGTGTGTGATGTTGACAGAGGCAGAGGAACTCTACCAGAAAAGAGTCCTGACAATCACGGGTATTTGTGTGGCGCTGTTGGTGGTGGGCATCGTGTGTGTGGTTGCCTACTGTAAAACCAAGTAAGTCCTGCTGATGAATGGATATTTAACATTTTTAACTCCACCTGCCTTTCTTAAAATATGTATGTATACTCAAACTGTTTTCATTGCATGTAATATGCAGAAGAGAAATAGAAGAATACTGTTTATTAGTTAAACATTTTGTTATTTTTATGGTTAACATGTCATCTTTTGTTACTACTAGAGTGTTGAAAGGGAGAAATTGACCAATATTTGCTCAACAGGAAACAAAGAAAGAAGATGCACACTCATCTGCGACAAAATATGTGTCCAGAACATCCCAATCATAACCTTGCTAACGGACCCAATCACCCCGGACCAGGCCCAGAGGAAATCCCTATGGTAGATGTGAGTTTCTGAAAGGATTCCTAACGTTATTAAAGTAAACGCACACAGATGTACTGTACACCAAATGGTTTAATGCTTAGTTATATAATCAAAGCTTGTCTTTTTTTCCCCCCACATTTTTCCATCTGCCAAATCCATTTTTTCCCGACACAGTACATATCAAAGAATGTCCCTGCAACTGAACGAGTCATACGGCCTGCAACAGAGGGATCGTTCCCTGCCAGCCATAACTCTTCCAGATCTCACAACTCTTCCACACGAGCCCATTCATCAACACACAGGTGAGCATTCATAACACCAAACCATTTCTTTAAGCGGTCAAATGCCTCAAACAGGTGAATTGGTTGTCAAAAATACCAAAAGAAAAGGATAGAAAAAAAGGCTCACGCTGGGGTGTGTGCGTGTTAACACCTTTTTTATTTGTCAGACATGAGGAACGGACATGGAGCCTGGAACATTCTGACAGCATCCTCTCCGACTCGCCGGGAATGATGTCATCATCCGTGGGGACCAGTAAATGCAGCAGTCCTGCGTGCATGGAGGCACGGACACGACGCGCTGCTCACTGTGGTTACTCTGACCCCCATCGGACGGGCCTGCACTACGGAGACTCTTTCGACTCGCTGGGAGACTCTCCGCACAGCGACAGGTGGGAAACAGGCCTATGTGGCTCTAGGTTTGGCGTTAACATTCTCGAAAAGTTTGCTCTCTCTGCTGGTTCTCTCTCAGCCTCAGTCCCAGTCAGGGAACTCTGAGATTCAGAGGAAACTGACACACAGCAGGCATGATGATGAAATACGCTAAGGTAGGCAAGTGTGGAAAATGGGGACAATGTGCATACAGCTAGTGTAACATTAGTCCCTAGCCAGTAGTAATTCCGATCGGCTTCAGCTTTCCCTTTTTATTTCCCTTAAGGATCTATGTGACAATTTTGGACATACACTTCTTGGCCAGAAACGATTTAATCCGTGCGTCACAAGGAAAGGTAGAGGATAAATTTAGCACAAAGTGTAGAAGCTGGAAGAAGAAGTTAGTCTGTCAGAAGTGAGAACATATTCCTTTCAACAACCCCAAAGCAGTCTATATTTAGCAGTCCTGCGTCTATTTCTGTTCTCAAGGCACAGAGATGTCAATCTTCTCATGTGTCAACATGTCAAACAAGATTATTTCATCAAATGTCTGAGTGCTCCCAGAACATGTCAACTCAAACACAATTAGTTCACTGTAAATATTGTGCTTTCAGTTCTGCCACATGCTCTTTATTTCATTTGCAATGTCACACATGGTCCAAATTTGAAGGGATATTGTTATAGGGGCCTAGCAATGACCCTCCCCACCCACTCCCAAAATGCCCTCACTGTTAACGTTTACATTTCCAAAACATTTTACAGCTAAGCATCCATCACTCAACAAGCTCAATAAGCACTGAGCTAGGAGAACATACAGGGATATGGGAGCACTATTGAGCCATATATTAAAAGTATGAAGTTTGAAGCACAAAAACAGTGGGTGAGTTATCTTTTCCAAAAGTAGACAACTTTTTTGAGGGATTGGAATGATGGCCCAGCTATGTTGAGGAAGTCGGTCTTTGTTGACCCTGTAATTGAAGACCCTGTGTTTAAGGTTTGAAAAAACATGCTAAAGGTTGCTTTACATGAGGTCATCCAGCCCTTTTCTACCGATAGCTTACACACAGCCTTATTAACATTTGCTTCAAGTCTTTAGAATCAATATTTACCCTAATGTCTTCTGTATTGGATCTTTAATTATTCTCAGCATCAGCCAATCCATTTAAAATGGGTCACCACATAAGATCATTTGGATAGGACCGTATGATAATCGGTATGATAATCAGATCTCTGAGCCAAGGTGCCCACAAAACAGACATCCTTTACTGAGTTACTTATTAACCAACAAAGAGTGATCACATTCTTAGACGATTGCGTTTGAAGTTATTACCCTTTTACAGGGTTGTCATAACAAACAATTAATTGTGCAAGTGCAGAACACTAACTGTTCTCCATTTTAAAACGGCACAGGCCTCAGGTATGAAGTCAAAATGCAAGAAAAAACGAGTTCAAATGCATTGAAACTAACAAAAAGATGAACAGAAGATAACAGAATGCATAGTGACCCACTGACCTCACAGGATAAGCCTGCTTGCTTATGGCTTTAGAGTTTTAAGTACATATCATTCGGGCCAACTAGAGCCACACTTTGGACCAGATGTAGACCTTACACACTTAACACATTAACTTATGCCTGCTAATGCTGCAAAATGCTTACTTGAGGTGTTGAATATGCAAATCGGTGCATGTCCAACTTCAGTCCCTGGGCCAAAATGAAAGTAATGGACCAAGAATATTCCTAATGTCTTTATAGCTGCATGCATCCATTTAAGTATTAAAAAATGTCCAGAAATGACGACATGACTTAAGCCCCTTTCCCACTGGACATCCCACTAACTCCCACTAACATCTGGCTTTTTCTCTTTCGTGGGAAAGGTTATAATCAGCATTCATTCCCGGGACAAATCACTTGTGAAGTCACAGGTATTTGTCGGCTCCAGCTTTGATCAGCAGTGATAAAAATATGACCCATTTTATTGTACAATGTCCATGACACATGTTGAAGTGGAGATATAATAAATAAAATCAACAGAGTTTTGGAGAATTATTAGAATGTATAGAGTACAAAACATGTAATTTATTTGGAAAACTACCAGATTCCATCAGTAATTTTATCACACTGATTCATGTAAAAACTCACTTTACACACACAAAAGATACAAATTATAACTCCTTAAAACCTTTTTTTACTCTTTCACTGTTCCAACAATGACCTACGCTGGTTTGTGAGTTTCAAAAAGAGACAGAATAAGTAACAATGTAAAAATAAAGTAACCATCTTAAATACTTTTTACTGTTTATTAACCCTGTTTTCCGGCACGTCAAGTGTGTTTTCCCATGTCCTAATTTTGGTAGCATAAGGGTATGACTTACTGCAGCAAAAATGTAAATAAGATACTGTATAAATGACAAGACTATGCAGTCCTGGCCTATTATCTGCAGCAAATAAACAGTGCCTTTTATAGACTGTCAAAAACAAGCTGGACAAGATGTGTCTTGCCTCCTCTGTGCATCAGCTTCATCGTCCCAACAATGCCAGCACACAACAAGCATTTCAGCACGAAATGTGCCTTGGCCAATGAGTTGCTATGCAGAGCCAGATTGCATAACCAACATCCCCTCAGAGTCATTCCAGGTAACAGGCGCCTGTTTCCATCATGGCGACGGCTTCGGATTCAGCTGAATCAGCAGTGTTGTGGGAATATCTCAAGCTTGTGTCTCACACAGCGTGTTGTAGTTTCCTAAGAGCAAAGAACATTTGACACAAAAAGTCTGATCTACAGTCAGTGATATGAAGACTTGAAACTGCATTTAAAATGTATTGACAATCATGTTTAGTTGGTGTATGATTATAGTTTTGTAACTGTCAATCAACATATTGGCAACTATAGGGTTGGTTGGAGAAGGGATGGAAAAGTGGTAACCATGACTCCAAGACTCCCGTCAGTCGAGAAAACGCACTCTAAATGTACCTGTCTTTAAAGCTTGATATTGACTTTCTACTTCAAGAGCCAAGCCGTACGTTTTTATAGCTAGCGTTTACCAATAATTGGGGGTTGTGTATCTTCAAGAACTTCTACATTTACTCAAGCATTCAGTCATGGTGCCAACATGGCCAAATTAAACAAGATAGCATAAACTGAAAACCACAGTAAGTTGGGGATGAAGGTATAGAAAGGTGCAGCATGCCATTATTCAAAGGATTAAGAGAAGTATTGTCTTGTGATCAGTGTATACACTAAAATGCTAAAGTGAAACCTTGCTGTGCAGGTTGGTCCAGAGTCTGGAGAAACATTATTTAGTCACCGTCATTCTTTAGAATAAACTATACAGCAACCAAAAAGCAGCTGCTCCTGCGTGTGGTGCAGTGGGATGTGCGTTGGTGTTCGGATCAGGGGGTCACAGGTTCAAACCCCACTGCAGTCAGCGTGTCGTTGTGTCCCTGGGCAAGACACTTCACCCCAAATTGCTCCTGTGGGGATTGCCCACAGTATTGAGTATGTAAGTCGCTTTGGATAAAAGCGTCTAACAAGTAACATGTAATGTAAAAAAAATGCCTGAAGACCTCTGGCTGGGATTCGATTTTAACTGCTTGAGACGCTCAAATAGACATGTGATCGTAAAACAAACTGCTGGAAATGTTATTGATACAATCCAAAACAGTCATTCAGATTCACTGTCATGCAGTAGAAGGAATGTTTATGAATGTCTGTTAAGACAATCACCTCAGCATCAACCAATTTTATATTTGTATTTTATAAGACCCAAGGATATTAAAAAAAGACATGGCTCCACATCAGATCCTTGGGGGACACCACCAGACTCCAAGTTTGTAAACCTGGGATATGATATACAGTACTGTAGTATTGCTGTTGTTTAAAGCGGCTCCTCTTTAGTTCAATTCATCAAGACTTTTCCCCGATTTTATATTTTTCTTTCACTGTAGTAGATGCATGCAAAATAAATGAAGAATTTAAGGTAACACAAGGTGATCACTTTCTTTGAGTGACTTTTTTCAACCTTAGTCAAATCTGCCGATAAAAAAACTTCAGATCAAAATAGAAATATCTCAAATATATCATCTTTTTTTAAATTGAGACGATGTCAATGGTCAGGGAAGAAGTTACAATACCCAGTGTGAAAAAATACCTTACAGCAGTTCAGCTCAAGAGGACATCTAGGTTAAATGAATGTATGATACAACACTTGTTTTCCATTTAATATTTCAGTGCCTGCTTACAGCTTGCTTGTAACTTGGCAATTTGGTAGTTCATTCAATTAATCAAATGTTGGTGAAAAATTCAGACAGATTTCTTTAAACTCTTCCACTTGCTCACTTCTGCTTGTTGCTCTTCTCTCTACTTAACTATGCCCTCCTCTCTGCTTTTACTACAGATACGTGTCAGCCCTGACGACACCAGCCCGACTCTCCCCAGTGGATTTCCATTACTCATTGCCCTCGCAGGTGCCTACCTTCCAGATAACATCCCCCAATGCCAGCCATGCCATGTCTCTCCCTCCTGCTATCCGCAACCCCTACCCTCTGGAGGATGACCAGCCCCTGTTGCGCCGCTACCAGGTGCCACTACACGATGCCCAGTGCCAGGAGCCCTACCGGCAGCAGCGCCGCACCTATCTAAACGACAGCAGGGGCAGCCTGCCCTCCAGCCCCTACCGGCTGGCTAAAGAAGAAGACTATGAGACCACCCAGGAGTATCTCTCCTCTCGGGAGCAACCAAAGAGAAGTGGGTCCAGTGGAACTGGTAGCCGGCGCTGGCGGAGATCCAGACTTAATGGCCACGTGGCCCCGCGTGGATACGAGGCCTCTCGGGACTATGGGTCTCGAAGCTGCCTAACAGATAGTGAGTCAGAGGAGGACGGGGAGAACACACCCTTCCTCAGTATGCAGAACATGAATGCCGAGCCCTCCACCATCTACAGGCCGGTGGACAGTCGGACTTCTCACTCATCGGGGCGGCACAGTGGGCATGGGAACATGCATACAAGACTTACACACTCACGCTCCAAACCGGACAATACACCCATTAAAGAGTGAAAATGAACCAACAAAAATCAATATAGTATAGACCTGCATCTATAAGAAATATTTTTATTTTATATAACTGAGATATTCTAAACAAATGAAATATTTATTTTCATTTTAGCAAAAGTTGTCTACTAGTTAACAGCAAAGACTTTTTTATAGGGAAAACTCTATTTATATGTACATTTTTGATTTACAGCATAAAAAGATGTGCCAGTTTTTTCACAACGTAAAAAAAATAATAGTAATATTGTGGTGCCTTTTGCTGTATGCCGATGCCAGAGGGCCAGTGGAGGTTTTTGTAGCCTTTCTTATATGGACGCCTCATTTTTTATACACATTTATGTTGTTTTTTCCTCTCTGGTTTCCTGTTTTACTTTCTTTCCAAGTTGCATTCTTTGAGGAGTCTAGCCCCACTGGAACATAACCCCTTCCATGTCATGCAATATAAACCACTTCAACATAAAGTGTATGTTTACATTAATATGATTCGCCTGTAAGGTATATGATTTGGGATCTACAGTAATAGAGCGCCTGATAAATACGATGTAGATCCTTTTTGCCCTCTGACTGATGTCTACAGAGAGATTGAGTGTGTGTGTGTGTGTGTGTGTGTGTGTGTGTGTGTGTGTGTGTGTGTGTGTGTGTGTGTGTGTGTGTGTGTGTGTGTGTGTGTGTGTGTGTGTGTGTGTGTGTGTGTGTGTGTGTGTGTGTGTGTGTGTGTGTGTGTGGTGTGTGTGTGTGTGTGTGTGTGTGTGTGTGTGTGTGGTGTGTGTGTGTGTGTGTGTGTGTGTGTGTGTGTGTGTGTGTGTGTGTGTGTGTGTGTGTGTGTGTGTGAGTGATTGTTAGATGAATGTCATTGTTTGTTGTGATGACATCAAACTTGTGGATCTACCGGTGTCTCAGAAGAGTGTATCAGAGGTTCACAGAATAGTGCTTTATCAGAACAGTGACCCCCAGTGTATGTGGACAGGTAAGGCTGTTTTAGGGTTGTATGTTATGCAGGTCATTGCTTGATGTGTTTACAGCTATTCCTTCACTTTCCCAGCCTGCCCCAGTTTAGTCCTCTTTGATTCCCCTGCAGGTTTTCCCTCATGTTAGTTTCTTATGAGGCCAACAAACGCTGAGCCGCTTGGCACAGGGTGACCCCTGCCATCAGGAGTGATGGCAAAACCAAAAGATTGCATCTGTTTTCACTCAACTCAGCCCCTAATCCCATTCCTCATCATCCTTCTGTGTCCATTCTGTTTTTGTGGATCGTGTTAAAGGCCACACAGTGTCTCAGGATTTCCACTTGCCCACCCCCCCTTTTCTCTTCCACCTTAAACTCTGTTCACCCTCTTCCTCTACCTAAGACTAAGGCTCTCAGATCATGAAGGCCTAAATGTAAAACATACAGCCTACCAGTTCCCTGAACACATGCACATAGAGAGAAGGAAAGTGGAAGCAGCTGAGTGGAGAACAGTATAGAACATGCTAGACAATATAATGGAAATAGCTGTGAAACTTTGGAGGATCATACAATGCAAAAAATATGCAAACTTTCTATTTTGCTGTTTGATTACATCATTTTCTAACAGGTGACTGTAGTGTGTTTTGTGTGGAAAAAAAACGATGTGATGCCTGTAGTGTAGAATGAACATGATATAAATGCATATTTACATGAGTTAGTTTTTAAAGCCATTATGCAGCCATCTATAACGTTGTCAGCCTTTCTTGTTCACATGTCCATTGAATGACTGTGTCCATGAATTGTTGTATCACTTACTTTTAGACTGCTCCACTTAACATGCACACTTCCAAATAATGGCAAATAGCATCCAGATAGTGTCTCCTCCAATGGTACTGTGTACTGCTTTTTATCTTGTCGACGGTTAGTCATTTCAAATGAACTCCATAAATGAGGATGATTTCAAAATTAAAAACATTTGAGCCCCCTGTCCTCCATTGAAGGATATAAACATTTCAAAGGTAATTCAAGAATCATGACTCCGTGAGAGAGAACAGTTTTGTCACTGTTGGTATGGTATTTACTCCTTAAAAAAACAACTATTCTGAATTATCAGACTATAACTCTTGAAAAGATTAATCTGCAATATGTACGTCTATATGGTAAACGCACAGTGGTATTGCTATATAGAAAGGTCTTTGGTCACACCTCACATGCAGATAATTCATTGAGTTTCTCACCTCTGGGTTTACTTTTGTATGTCTGAAAAATACAGAAGAAGATAGTGCTCCTCTAGTTTAAATGTGATACTCCCTTCACTCTTCTAGTCCTCTCACACAATGGAGATGCTACCAGGCACGTCCTGCCACTCTCTTCTGTTTAATTTTATGACCCCCCCCACTCCACCTGACTCCCACCCTCGCTTGAAATGTTTGAACACCTCTCCTCTGCATGTCCTTGTGGTCACGGTTAGATGGGTGCATGGTAAAAAAGCAGCAGACAATTATTTTCCAGTCAGTGAAAGTGTATTTCATTTGAACATTCAGCAATAAAAGAGAACCTTCCCCCATGTCATTCCTGAAATATGCTAGAAAAAAAGAAAAAAAATGCGAGATTGTCATAGATTGTAAAATAAAATGAAAAATGAATCCACCTGTTCATATGAGAAAATAAATCTTTATTCATATCATTTTACGATGTAGTTATTTCTGTAGAAAGCGTTGCTTTTGCATTTAATTCACCTTTTAGTGTGACTTCGGGTTTGACTATTCTGGCATGTAGTGCATACGATACACAACGTCTCTCAGGAGTACACACATAAAATCTGATTCTGATATATGGTTTATATGTTGATTGAGGGGTTATGGATTGAACAAAACAGTTTCACATGGTAGAAGTCATAGCTCATACAGTCAGAGCCAGTCACACAAGCACATACAAAAACATGTGTGGGAAATAAGCGTTGTCAAGTTATAAAACTTATTGTCAGAAAAGTACAAAAGATAAAAACCGATGGACCTATTCTGAAACGAAAAAATTATGATTTATTTATTTTCCTTATCGATTTAAATCTTGATGTTTCACCAGCATTCTTGAAGAAAAATCCCATATTGCGTATTGTAAGAAATGTAGTGACAAGCAGATCTTTAAGAACACGATTTTCTAGCATTAAAGAAGTACAGAGAAGATTTCCTGCTTTATTTTAGCTTCTAAATATTCGCCCTTCTTCAAAATAAAGATCAACACAGTGATCTGACTGGTTTAGCTTTTGCATTACCGAGGACTCACCACTAGATGGAGGCACAACAGCAAGATTCACAAGACAAACCGGGAAAGAGCAACGTTTGCAAGGGTGAGTTTTATTCTGTATTGTATGTTATTTCCTTATTGAATATAAAATAGAAACACACTTTATATGTATTACAGCTGTGTTCATTTGGAGTGAGTTGACAGTAAACTGAACTGCAGCCTGATAACAAACATCACTTCTGAGTGCAGTTTGTGATCCAAGCAGACATCGTTGTAAATATTAGAGGTCAATCAATAGTGGAACAATCCTCCACTTTAAATCTCAGTTCAATATATTTTTGTCACAAATATGGGATATTAAAGTACAGAACTTATTGTTACTTTACGGTGTCTTTTTAGAAGTGGAAAAAACAGCCTATTGAATTTGCTGGCATCATGCACTCATTGACAGTCAAAATGGATACCCATGATTCAGTTTGTCCAAGACATGTTCGACTGTCTGTGAGAATCAAAAAATTGATATTTAAAGACTGGGTGACATTTTTACCTAAAATATGGAATACCAGAGGTCATTCTTGTGATCATGAAGTGAAACAGACACATGTAAACAGGAGTAGGTTCTGTGTGATTGAAAAACATAATTCTCTACCTGATTTCATATTTTTTACTTATTGATTGATGTCTTAGGATAAGGCCCAGGCAATGAATGATGGACGTAAACCAGTTAAATGTAAATCCTCTTGTTGCAAACTTCTTATGTCTGACTTGTTTCAGTAAATGTATCAGACAGCGCCCATTTAAAAGGATCCTGAATAACAAACAAAGTATTTCAGTTCAACAGAGCAAAGGAATTGAAAAGACACACAATACTTAAATGTGAAGGTGCTGATTTTAATGAAAATATATTTTTGTTTTCAAATACAAGATTGCAAATAATAAGAAGTTATAAAAATACCAGTAAAAGCAAATCACCTGTAGAAGGCTCATTATCTAACATATAAAACATAATTGATGCAATTCCAGACTAAAATCCTCCTATAACACAAACACACACAGATCTAATTGTTCACAGCTATTCATTTCACTGTATTGACCTGTCTTATTGCAACTCCACCTGTCTAGCAGTCATACAACATAATAAACTCTATATTGAAATCAAACTAATAAACAGGCCGGAGAAAAAGCAGTAACCAAGATATGTTCATTAACATGTCGGGAAAACCTCAGGAGCAGAATACAGATGCCCTCAGGCCGTCTGCTTTAGGAGATCCGCCTGGGTGTCTTGCAGGATTATCGCTTCCTTTCGTGATACTTTGGAGCTTCTCCCAGTTCCCCTGTGGTCAAAATAGAAAATGAAAATATAGATAAATCTGTTACTGTCTCTCTCTTAATGTCTAAAATGCCTCCAGTATACTTTACTAAAAATGTATGTTTTTATTTGCAGAGATGTAAAGGACAGATCTTGTCCCCCCTGATTTTACCTGTCCTCCACATCTTGTATTGTGTCGGGGAGGGGTGAGCCAAGTGTTTCTGGAAGAAATATTGCAGCAATTCCACTGAGGATCGGAGCGCCGCCATAGATCAAACCTGGGAGCCAAGGTAGATAGTCGGCCGTGAGAAGCACCATCGGGGCCACCATGGATCCCACCCGAGCCATCATGGATACCCAGCCCATGCCATTCTGACTGAGAGGGAGAAAGAACTGCCATTACTCTAACATTAAAGCGATGCTTTTCCTGTAAATCAGTGATTGTGGGGCAGGTGATAAAGAACAATGTACATGAGTACTGTTATTGATTTTTAAATAAAGATATTAAAATTAAGATTAGAGGCTGCTATTTTAGGACATTACTAAATTCACCAGTTAAGGTGTACATGAAGTATGTCATTGTCGTTGAATAAAACGCTTGAAAATGAATGCCTATATGAAAGTTCAAAGTTCAAGTGTTTTTTTTAACAGATAAACCTCGTAAATAAGTCCATATACAGCACTGATAGGGTCAAGGGTTTTTAGTAACTATTTAACTGATTAGAAAAAGCAAGTTAGCTTTGAGCGAGAGCACTCTGCTAACTGGGAGATGGAACAATTACCTGAGCTTGAGTATAGATAACAATCAGCAGTGCTAGCGGCCAAACAAGTTAGTCTGGGCGAGAGCACCCTAAAGTATTTCTTTTTTTTGTTAAATATATTCTTTCTCAGCGATCTGAAAAAAAAAAATGTATGCGGCATCAGCCAATTACTGCTACTTTCCAGCCAAGTTAGCCTGA